TTTATATATACATATTATATATTGTAAAAAAAAAATTAAAATTATTTTTAAATTGCTAAAAGACGACCTTTATTTACTAATTTGAGTGTTTCAAATAGATTTAAGACGCGAATATATTTAGTCAAAATGTAGCTGTAACTATAAAACTGTAAGAATATATAGCCAATGGAAAGCCATTTATTTTCATAGATAATAGATAATGACATATGTAACTGGCTAACAAATTGGCTGATTTCAATTGTGCTATCGCCGCACGCAGACAGAAAGCAAAAAACAAACAAGAAAATAACGTCAAATATTACGTATACGTATAAAAATAAGATTCCAACAACAAGTGAACGCAAGAGCAGCAGCATTTACACACATGCACGTCTGGGCTCAGCGCCAGACCATGTTTCTGGCCCGGCGGGCGCAACCAGCCCTAACCGAGTTGTTATAGGAAAAAAAAAACACATCAAGTGCAGGAATAAGTCAATATGGCAAATAGAGAAACTAACTTATATTTGTGATATAATTGTTCCTTAGGTAACCGAGAGATCAGAGATCAGAGCTACTTATATAGACATGATAGCCCCTATAGTGGGAAATAAGTTTTGGCCACAGTCAATATGGACAAAGGAAATGAACTAATTCGTAAAAAGCACATCAACTTATTAGCTCTTAAGAGCAAGTGAGAGGGCGCATAAAGTGAGTGAGAGGCTGATAGAATAGAGGGAGTTGGGGCAAGGGCACGACAACAAAGTGTAGATCAGCTTTATTTATTTGTTTTTGCAGCAAGTTCTTTTTTTTTATTTCGTTTCTTTTCCTTTCCTTTTTTTATATTTTTTTTCAACACATCAGAAGCCACCTACAATTTTGGTTTTATAAATAGAAATTCAAGCAGTTGGTTGGCCAACAAAATGATTTTTCGCTGTTGCTGTTGCTGCTGTTGCTGCTGCTGTTATTTTTGCTCAATTTTCAAACAACTAACTGTATACACACGCACTCACATAGTCTATGTGTATGTATAGATCAATAGTACGGGTATTTTTATAAAGCGCAGACAGCGCACAAAGGTCTTCGCATAGAGATGATCAGCATGTAGGTGAGACAAGAACAACATATTTTTGCTACCTTCCTCTGTTCTGCATCCATTGTTCTGCCTTTTGTCGAAAATTTCTAAGCGCATCGACAAACGCACATTTATTTTTTTTCTACTATTTCTACTTTTTTTTCTGTAGTAGGGATTTTTTTAGATACCCTGTAAATAATTTTTCGGTTTTTTTTTTTTTAATTTCTTTGACTCATTAAAGAAGAAAATATATTTTTGTTTTATATTTATGTCGACTAGAATATAAATTAAAATATGTATATGTGTATTTATTTATTTATATTTATTTATTTATTTTTAATGCTAAAAGTCAGAAGAACTGGAACATCAAAACACACTCAAGTCTCTATTAACTTTTGCAGAGTATCTGAATGTGTATCACATTTAGCTGCCCAACTTGTTTTGTAGTTTTTTTTGTGTTGTTGTTGTTTTCATTTTTTTTTTTTTTTTTTTTTTTGCAGTTCAATGCAGACAGACAGCCGTTTTAATTGCTTTTGCATACAGCAATACATCAAGATGCTGGCACACACGAGCCGGCATGGATGTCATTATGGGCAAGCTCTTTAGTTG